AACATGGCAGTGGTCAAAACAAGGCTATGGCAAAGTAACAAAATAAAGATTAACAAAACTGTGGCAAGGCTGTGGTAAAACATGGCTATGGGAAATAATCAAAACCTTACATGACGTGGGGAGACGAAAGACGCAAACGAACTGGCACAGGACATGCGAAACGAGGACTATTTAAACACATGAGGGAGGGGAACCCCAGGTGTACACAACAGGTAATCAACACATGAAAACACACCAGACATTCCCCCAGATGTGACAAAAATATAGTTATAAAAGAAAATAGGACAATCAGTCATTTACATAGATCATGTCATAGCATACAATGCTAAAGTGAGTCATTATCCTCCTGAGACCCAAAGAAAAAAAGTGTCTTCAAATTTCTTTTTTGTTGTGATTTTCTATGTATTTGGACCTAAAAAAAAGAACATTACAATTTCAATTTTTAAATAAATATTTTTAATTTTAATTTCATAGCATAACAGGACGATTTGCATGGGAAAATAGAAGAGGCTTTAGATAATTAAATAATAAAAAAGAAGATGTCTTGAAAGGGATATTTACCTAAGAACTCTTAGGAAAAAAGTAAAGTTCCCAGCATGCAAACCTATCACATGGCACATCACTGGAAAGCCCAGGATGTCCTCTACAGAACACTATAGGGCTTGATAGGGTAACTGCAGATACTTAGGGGGGGGTACAGGTGGACAAAATGTCCACTATAATGGACATAAAAGAATGGGCCGGGTCGGAGGAGGTTATAGCCATATTCTGACAAGTTCTTGATTCGTCCCCATCCAGGTGTGCTCCGGGTTACTATGGCAACCCCATGGTGATCGGCGGCTCCTGTAAGAGGTGCGACTGCAACGGCAACTCCGACCCCAACCTGATCGTCAACGAGTGCCACAACGCCACGGGCCACTGCCAGCACTGCTGGGGGAACACGGCCGGAGCCAGCTGCCAGCGCTGCGCCCACGGTTACTACGGCGACGCCATCGGCGCCAAGGACTGCCGAGGTGAGGGGCGGCAGCTCACCAACGTTGCTGACCGAAGATCCAGAGATCTCTGACCAGTCAGTTTCACTGAGGGATGTTTTAGTTCAGGCCAAATCACCAAATCAGGAGATACTGACCGTGGCTGACCGGCTGTTATTCATAATGGTTACAGTTCCTGGGATAGTAGTCTGGTGTAATACCGTACAGAATGACCCACAGCATGACACAGGTCACCAGATCTGAAAGTCAATATGTGGAATTTTATTTATTCATTTTTTTTTATTTATTCGTTTATTTGATAGGGACAATTATGTTTAATGAAACATGTCAGACACTATAACATTTTAGCTAAAGGCTAATTCTCAACGCCTGTCCCCAGTTAGGCTTTTACACGAAACACAGTGACTGCACAACAGAACAAATTACACACTAAAACATCACAGATAAAAAAATCAAGACAGTCAGTTATGCTTTTTAAAAAGAAAAAATACAAATAACGTAATCTCAGCTTTCTAAATTAATACATACTGTACGAGTATGGTACTCGAGGCAGGACTCAGATGCAGAGAGGTGGTTCAAAAAGGTTTTATTGAACTCAAAAGTGCACTCTCAAAGAGTGGAAAAAAAAGTATAAAACAAGATAGACAAAACTATGGACAAAGAATGAAATCAAAATCACTCGTAAACGAGGCAAAAACAAGACTGTGGACAAAGTATTCAAATATAATCACTCGTAAACAAGAGAGGCAAAAAGGATGAAGGATGAAGGATGAAACAAAGTAACAAAATAATACTGGTAACCTAACAAAATGACAAGGAGGATCAAAAGCAAAATTACTCTTACGAGGTTAAACGAGGGGCGAGGCAAGGTAAGGTACGATGACAAGGTAATGCTCAGTAAAGTCATAAGACGGAAGACAAATGACGAAACACACCGGCCCCAGACAAGGAGAGACTCAGACTATTTAAACACAAGGGAAGGAAACCCCAGGAGAACCAATCAGGGATCAGGGAAGACGAGCAGACATGTGACACACAGGGTAGACCTGAAACAAGGGGCTGTACCTTTCAAAATAAAACAGGAAATGACAAGACATCCATGGAAACAGGACAAAACACCAAAAATCCCCCAGAAGTAACACATACACAACAAAGGCGTCCTTCTCAGTATAAAAAGAAACCTCGATCCTCTTCTGTGTAAAAACTAAACAATGTTGACAAATCCAGATTAAAGAAAAATATACTCTACAATAAGTGGCCTCTAATGTTCTCCTCGGTGTGTGTCTTCTGTGCCTGTTGCAGAGTGTGAGTGCAACAAATGTGGCACCTCGTCGTGTGACGACCGGACAGGGGTGTGTCACTGCAAACCGGGAGTTACCGGACCTCTGTGTGACCAGTGTGAGGTGAGAAAAACCCCTACCCCCCCTTCCTACGTGTTTCTTAGACTTAGACTTAGACTTAGACAGTACTTTATTGATCCCTTGGGAAGACTCCCTCAGGAAATTAAGGTTACCAGCAGCTTACAAGGCAAAAAGTATTAAGTTAGAATTAAATTAAGCAAAAAAATAATAAATAAATAAATAAAAATACAAATAATACAGATTCTGGTGTTCCCAATGAATTGATCTGGTTAGAGGGTTGTGCTTCTGGACACTTGTTCCCTCTAAAGCATAAAAAAAGACACACAAAAGAGAACTTACTTTCATTTGAGGGTAAATAAAAGGAATAATTCAACCTGGAGTTGTTTAGACATCAGATAAAACTGACAGTGGATTGAAAATAGCATTCAGTATTCTAAGGTATGTTCAATCAAGTTAAGTTTAATTATTACAAATGACTACATTCAGAATAAAGCACAAAACAGAAATGTTTTGAAGATCAAACTTCCTTTTTTTAAGCGATCTGAATGCAGAATAACAGAATAAAACATCAATTTTTGTTCTGAATAACATAAAAACCCTCATAAGGAGCCCGGTTGTGATTCTGCGTCCTGCAGGAGGGTTACTCCGGGTTCTTCAGCTGTCAGGGATGCCGCAGATGTGAGTGTGGGCCGGCCTCTAAGCGCCCCACCTGCCATCCGCTCACCCACAGCTGTCCGTGCCGCCCGGGGGCCGGAGGCCGTTACTGTGAGCGCTGCCTCCCGGGATACTGGGATTACGGCCCCTCCGGCTGCCAGAGTAAGCCAGACCTCCACATGCAACATCTCACATGCTGTTTGGACAAAAGGAGCCATTATTGAAACACTCTGAGAAGATTCCCCAAAGGGGACCAGCTACAGTGTACGCTCACATTCCCACACCCACCACAAGTAGCACACACCATCTCAGAGAGAGCCTTCGCTAAGCACTAGGGATGGGAATCTTCACCACCAAGGCGATACGATACACATCTCGATACACAGCCAACGATTCGATACATTCACGATTCATGGGATTTCTAGTGATAAGATTCGATACGATTCTCCAACCTCCTGCGATCCGGTGCGATACAGAACGATCTAAATTTAAAATGCTGCGATACAGTGCGATACGATACGATACAATACGATGCGATGCAGAAGAAAAGTACACCATGGACTACATAGTTCAAGTTATGGCACGCAAGCTAACTGTGCCTTTTATTTTGAAACAAAGGAAGTGCAACTTAGAGAGTGATTGTCTCTCTGAAACTTTACAAGAAACGCAACTAAAACTCAAAGACACGTTTCTAAAAAGTTATAATAATAGAAGATAATCGGTTTGTATCGATGCAGGTAGTTTTATACGATGCATCTCGAGTTTATGTGCGGTTTTTACCGATGCAGACGTTTGCAAATCGATGCAACCGTATCGTACAGGTCGTTCCGATGTTCCGATACGCATCGGTGAATGTTGCCATGCCTACTAAGCACTGTGACCCTTTTCCCAGACATTCTCCACAGGGCCGGATGACCTAAGCCCGTGTACATGAGCAGCTGCTAAAGCCATCACTCCCACACGGGAGACGCCTCACAACAGATGCATTTGCCTCGAGCCAAAAGACCATCTGTGGCTCTCCATATAGATTTGTTAACTTAGACCAGTGGTTCTCAAACTTTTTTCAGTGATGTACCCCCTTGAAAATATATTTTTAGTCAAGTACCCCCTGACACAGGCAAAAAAATTTTGGAAGAAAAAAAGAGGTACAGTGCTGTAAAATCACTGTCTTATTTATTAAAGCCAAACGTAACCATGGTAACGACAGGTCGTTGACAAGTGCGCTGGGTCCATGGGTAAAACTAACTTGGTGGGGGGTCCGTTTTATTTGAAAGGATATTGAAACTAAATACTGAATATAAAATGCAGTGCATGAACACACATTTATATTCTATCAAACATTTTTTTTACAGAATACTTTCTCCCAAGACTTATTATGAGGAGCCTACTGATTTTTAAAATATATTTTGAAAAGCTTCACGTACCCCCTGCAGTACCTCCACGTACCCCCAGGGGTACGCGTACCCCCATTTGAGAATCACTGACTTAGACCGTAACAATTCCCCCTGATCTTAGTAAAAAAAAAACAACTGTTACTAAATACGTTCGGCCTACACTGTTTAACTTTTATCTGTGAAAATTCTTTTATCAAAATGTTATAAAAAATAACCATTACCCCACACACCTTTATGCCAAATCAGTCACCTGTATTTTGTTTATCAATCACACAATTCACAAACAATCCACTTCTTTCCCCACATTTTTTCAATAGTCTTGGTCAAAAATCACCATCAGTATTAACCGCTTCCCCCCCCCAAAGTCACTCCATAGTGTAAATCCAAACACCGGTCCTCTTGCGAAAATACAAAAAGAAAAACCCCACAAAATTATACAAAATAAGTTAAAAAAAATCAGTCTTCAGCAATGCATTGCACAAAAAAAATTGAAGGCAAAAATGAGAAAAAAAAATGAGCGGGAAAAAAAGTCCTCCAGGCTTCGACTTCTTTTTCTTTGCTTTGAAAGTCCTTATTTCCCCAAATATTGTCCAGTGGGCTGATTTTTTTCTTTTTTTCTTCAACCCCATCCGGCAGGACTCTTTGCAGCCTCCTCATTCAAACAACCTCTCTCTCTTTTTCATGCCACCTGCCACACCTTTCAAACATTTTTCCTCATTACCTCTTTCCCAGGTGCTCCCTGGATAGCTCCACCCCTATTTTCCTACCCCCCCCAACTCTCAAAGACACAGAGTATGGCAATGAAAGCCCATGAATTATAGAGGCTGATACATATATTGATAAAAACCCAACCAGGCCAATGTCAATTTTACCTGAGCCTCCAATTTTTCAAAGACCCTAACTTATGAGACAACATAGGTCTACACAGAAAAAACACCATCCAACTTAATGTGGCAGGGTCACAAGACGTTTCCACCAATTTTCTGTCTTGCCAGAGAGTAATGTCCAGTTGTTTTTTTTATAGAGTGTGACTGTGAAAGTGGCCACTGTGACATGCATTCAGGAGAATGCCTGGCAGAAGCAGCAGCAGTACACCTCTGCAACATGAGTAAGTCAAACTTAAAGGAAGACCAGACTTTTTACGGCAATTAAGAAAAGAAGACTTAAGTTAAAGTTGACACTTTCTGGTTTTAGCCTGTGACGACTGCATATGGCATCTGACTTTCGACCTGAAAAAGTCCAACCAGACGCTGGACCAGCTAAAAGTTGGAGTGCTGAACATCTCCACTGGTGCAGCTGCTAACGACAGGCTCAAATACTATAACTACACAGCCCACCGACTCCAGGTACACGCACAAATCACACTTTTTAAAGAAAATGTAATCGTGTTAAAACACATAATCATGTAACCAAATGCAGAGAATGATTTCATTTGAACTTTTTCCCTAAAATCCATGAAACGCTTTAGCATTGGTTAGCTTAACTGAGCTGACTTGGTGTCTCTGCTTTAATTGCACTTTTTTTAGTCCTTCCAATCATGTGTCATTTCAGTTTCAGTGTGTAAATTACACCTGTAAATGTCTTATCTGCTCACTAACAAACAACTAAAATCGTTTTAACTTGATTCCTAGCTCAGATGACTGCCTTCAGCTTAAACAACACTAAAGTTATTTGTTCATTATACCTTTGTAGATTGGAAAAAGGAAAAAAAAACAAAGTGAGAAAGCAAAGATAGATTTATTCGACAATGAATTAGGCCAATCTGTAAAAGCCATTTAGTTCGATAATGATGAAAAAGTAGCTTTCTGTCAGTCGTATTCAGTTTGTTTGTGTAAAGTGGGTTTAGGGGAAAAGAAAATTCCACGGCTACTAATGACAATTATTCCAGGAATTCAGCGCACATCATTGCTGTCAGGTTCAAAGGGATTATGTCTTTTCTATACATCCTCACACAACAGTGACTTTTTACTATTTACTACTGAATGGTATGGCTAGGCATGAAGAGGCTTATCTACTTTGTCGGCAGATGGAGTTTCAGAGGTGGAAAAATAAGTCATCTGTGATGAAGGCCCAGACTGATGACCTGGAGTGGGCCACAGAAACTATGGTGCTGGACATCAGAGAGCTCGCCGAATCGGTCAGTAAAGTCATCATCCTTCATTCTGTCCATTATCTGGAAGACTTCACAAACTCAAGCTTATGATTAGTTTTCATTAAAGTTTTCATTAAAAACTATGCAGTTTAGATGTGCTTCGATATGTTTAAGTGTATTCTACTAATAATATTTACACTTCATATTTTGTATATATATATATATATATATACTGTATGTATATATGTATCGACATGTCTATATGTATATGCTTTTTTGTTAGTTCTCGAGTTAGTAACAGAAATCATTTCTGATTTCTGATTTCGATTATGATTCTGATATATGCGGATTTAGTGTCTACTCGTTGGGTTATACTGGGAAAAAAACCTACAATGTCACATAGTTTCATTGTTATGTCCACACAGCTAAAGTACTATTTTTTTTCTTAAGATAGTTTCAATATTAAAACATTGGTAAATGTATTTTCCGGGCAGGATCATTTGCATGGCCCTGTCCTACTTATAAACATTTAGAAATATTAGCACTTAGTGTGATTTCTGACTTTTTATTAAATAAATCCAAGGCGTCAAATTGTTTTTTTTTTGTGGTCATAATCAGTTTTGTTATTACATAGAATACAATGAATCACTCTGATATAGTAAAATTTCCAAACAGAGAAGATTCTCTATGACATTTTGGTGAATAGTTGATAAGGTGTTTCTCAGTGAAGCTGGACAGAGCACTTTTTCTCCTTCTGTTTTGAACAGGACAGCTTGTTGAGCAGTTTAGTGAAGAAGCTGGACAACGACACACTGGACACGTTCACCTCGGGTCAGCAGCTCAGCACGAATCTGTCAGACCTCAACACACGCATCGAAGGTACCAAACATCTCCCAGGACATGCCACAGATTGTTTTGCTCTGCTGGTGTCGTACATGTAGGGCTGCTCTATGACTGTCTGGTGATTTGACCAGAAAATTAACAGTTAAGTACATTTACAGGACTGTCTCAGAAAATTAGTATATGCTGATAAAGTTCTTTATTTTCTGTCATGCAATTAAAAATCATGAAATGTCATACATTCTGGATTCATTACAAATCAACTGAAATATCGCAAGCCTTTTATTGTTTTAATATCGCTGATTATGGCGTACAGCTGAAGAAAACTAAAAAATCCGATATTCTAATATTTTGAGATAGGATATTTGGCCATAATCAGCGATATTAAAACAATAAAAGGCTTGCGATATTTCAGTTGATTTGTAATGAATCCAGAATGTATGACAGTTCATGTTTTTTTAATTGCATTACAGAAAATAAGGAACTTTATCACAATATTCTAATTTTCTGAGACAGTCCTGTATATTGGAAAAGTACATCATCGGCTCAAGTTAGTTTTCAAATCTTCAATCAGAGCTGATTCTATCCTGTCTTGGTTATGCCAGTTTGTTGTGACCAGGTCAGACTTCCAGGACTAGCTGTTGAACAAAGAGTGACATACTTTGTTTGTCTCATCTTTTAGAGATGATCCACGACTGGGAGCTGTACAGCGTCCAGCAGGACGTGGACCCAGAGGTGGTCAGACGGAACACCAGAGCGGCCCACCAAATGGTGGCCTGGATGAGACAACTGGACCTGTCCTCACAAGAGCCCGTCACCACCGATGAGTCCACCGAGGCCCACGACTGTGAGACACAGACACCTTTACGCACACACATTTAGTACATAAGTAGAAATTACAACAACAGTTGGTTGAAAATCTTATGAGGAGTGGAGTAAAATGTCAGCAAGCAAAAAGATTTTTAAAGCAATGCTGAGCTATTTTTGTTCATGTTAGGTAGCAAGTAGATCTGAAAAGATTAACGGATCTGATAAAAAAAACAGTGAGTTTTTGTTGGGAACAGATATCAAGAAAAAAGTATTTGGTGTGGATTATTCAGCTGGGTTCCAACAAAAAACTCAGTCTGGACCATGGTTCTGTTTGTTTGAGATTGTGAATCAGTTCTTGAAGACAGTAAATACATTTCATAATCAATCTGTGGCACGTCACCTTATTAGAATATTAAACATTTTACATTGACTGATATATTTTTGGTAGACAAAACACAGCATGATAATAAAGAAAAGAAGTCCTGCTTTTGAAGGGTGTTCTTAGGTGTCCTTAAAGCTAACATGAATGCTGTCTCAACCTTTTTTAAAGGTTTTATTTGTAATATATACAGTGAGCATCATCTTATTTTAGCACTTCAGTCTTAAACCAAAAGCTAAACAGCCCCAAAAATTCTGATGTTTTAGGCTGAGAGACATTTATTTCCTTACCAATATTTGATCACATTAGAAAATGTAATCAAGTGAAGATTACTTCTTTTGGTGAAAAATGGATGATGTACTAACACATTCAAATATTTTTGTTCTTCATTTCCTTTCAAACTCCAATGAGATACACTCTGCTTGCGTTTTCCAATAACTGAAGATGACATTTTTGGCGAAACATGGATAATGTACTCACATTTTCAAATATTTTCATCCTTCATTTCCTGTAAAACTCCAATGAGATACACTCTGCTTGCGTTTTCCAGTGCTGAGACGAGTCCGTCAGTTGGAGAAAAAGCTGATGATTACTGAGGGCCGCCTGCCCTCCGTCAGAGAGGTGCTGTCCCGCTTTACGACCAGGCTAACGGACACTCAGGACTTTCTCCGGAAAGCGGAGAGCACCCTGCAAGAGACAGAGCGCAAGAACAGAGGCAGCATCCTCAAATTCCAAAGGAATGAGGTGATTTCTCTTCATCTTCTGTACTTATGCACAGATATGCTGTAAACATATAGAGTACTTATCCATCTCTTGTTATGAACAAGTGTTCTCACATAGACCGCCACAGTAACCCTTTAAAGCCTGATCCAAGAAAAATAGGAAGAATATTAGATTTTTTTTAGTCTGAAGTCTTTCTTTGGCCCCTCAACAACATATGAAGAAAAAAAACAGAAATTATTTTGATCAAATTAGCGTGCAATAAGTCAAAAATATATGTTGGTGTAGTCTTCTACTGGCTGTTATCAGGTATATCTGAATGTGTACAACAGGGGTTTGAGCAAAGCTTTTACCACTGAATGATGCAGAAAAGTCTCAGATCCAAAAGACTTCAGACACCTTATGTATCAAATATGATACATTTAGCATTATAGGGTCAATGTGCTTTATATTGTACACCTTCTAAGCATTGTGCTTTAGTGAATTTTGGAACCTCAATGTAAGGACACAAAACAAACTTGATATGCAGGGCACTAAAATAGCTTCAAGAGAAGTTTGTCTGTCTTATGAATTGTTTATTGCTTGTGATATTTCAGTAGAAAGAAAAGTGTTACGTTAGAAGGATCTTACGATAACAAACAGTCTACATTTATGGAGAAAAGTTATACACAAAGTAAACTAACACTTATTTGTTGGATGCGTGTTTCCTGAAAAGTAAATGAGATGTTTTGCCTTTGACATGTGTTGGAGAGCGTGTGTTGTGTTAAGCTTATCAGTAAATAATCATTGGTAAATAGTTTAAAACAAAAGGAATTTCGAGTTGGAGTTGCTATGACTATTAAGCATTTTGAATTTTGACTGAGTTAAAAAGAAACATACCCAAGTTACAGCAGTTAAACATACCCATGAGGAAGTGCAGAGGAACTGAAGATAACTTGTTACAAGTGGTCCTCCATTGGTGATTATGAGTGGAGACTTGTGTGCACGTAGGCTTTGTGTGACCATTTTAGAAAAATGCACTTCAGAGTTATAGAATATATAAAATTGCACTTGAAAAGGATTTTTTTTGGCATAAGTGGATAGCAATATAAAAATATGTGATTTAGTCAAGGTGGGATGGTCATGAAACATGTCAACAGTGGTGAGGTATTTATATTATCTATTTCAGTTATTAAACTGACACAAATCAGCTAAATATTTTTTAAATGAACATAAACCAAGTAAAACTAGTTCCATCATGAATGTCACTCGCATTTTCTGATCAGCTTTCAACTAAATAACGAAGTACTTTAGAGGAAATATTTCAAAGAATTAAAAAACCTACCACTTCCTGCATTCTGTGGCCGGGTCTGTGATGTTTAAAGGTTTAGTTCTGTAGATCTACTCATGGCATAACAGCTATGAAGCTCTTTAAATGTCCTGACTTTGAAACAACATTTGTGTCTTATAGTCACAGTTGTGGTGATAACCTGTGATCTAACATTCCCACATTCCCACAGACATGTCCTCCACTGGGAAGTTTCTATAAATGGTAACATCACTGTGTTGTGTGCTGCTGGTGGGATTTGATGTCAAACAGGCATAAAAAGTTCCCATTAGAAGGTTAGGGTTAGGATAATTTACTAGCATAACACAAGCACAGGAACCAGGTTTGATTTTCTACTTGGTGGAATTTCCTGGGAACTCTAAATAATGAGCCTGTAGCGTGTGCTTATCTATGGCTGCTTAATTTGATTTAGGGTCGAGGGGGGGTTGGAGCCTCTCTCAGCTGTCTGTGGGCCAGAGGGGGGGGATTAAACCCGGGGCATGTGGAAAGTCAATAGCAGGGCACACGGAGACAAACACGACCAAAAAAAACAAGGCTCGCTCACACTTTATTCTTGAAATAATTCAACTCCCTGTTCCCTGCAGGCATGTTTAAGATGAGGGACAAATCTCATGTAGCTTTGCTCTGTGTGAAACATTCATAATAAGCTACTATTCACTTTAATTATACCTTCTCTATTATACCATTAAGGCATTCTTATATTTGTCATAGCATGAAATCACCAAATGGATGTTGTCCAGTTAAAAGTCACAGTTTTCAAAATAATTGTACCTGTTTCTGGTCCCCTTTTAAACTATCAGCCAATGAAAATATGTCTTTCCATTCTCTCAAAAAACTGTTTCATTCACAGTGTTGTCACACAGAAGACAAAACAATCTTTACAAATCTATAGAGTTCCTTGAAAGCATCCTTAATCTGATAGCTCTGCTATCCCTGATTAATTAATTCTGATCCATGTGTGTGCATTTAACTTTACAGCTAATAACTCAAACCCGGGATCAGTCTCTGGTCACGTTGGTCCATGTTGGTGAGGTCAGGAACAGACGTGGCGTTCACATGATAGGCGTTAAGCTTCTGTTGTGTTGTTATCTCCCAGGCAAAGCGGCAGAGGCTGACAGAAGACGCCTCAACTATCAAAAGCACTCTGGAGGAAGGAACCGTGTTTATCCACGAAAGTGGGAGAGCTTTAGCTGAGGTGGAGGCCATGGTGCAGGTGAGACTCACAAAACCATGAAAATGACCATCAAGACCTGCTAAAACTGAGAAAGAAATCTTTAATCTGCTGTGTGGTGATGCAGTGTTTTCCCTTTATGTCTGTCTAAATAAGGTAATACAGATTTTTCGGCGAGGTTTTTTAATTATATCTTTTAAACTTTTATTTAATTTCTCCCAAACATACAAACTTTGTAGAAGACTGGTCAAAGACAATATCAGCACTACATCTCACATGTATATACAAGAGTCCATCCATAAGTTCTATGTCCACAGCGATTGTCCGTTAGAGTCCATTTTACATTCCACTCCCAGTGTTTCCAGTGGCTTCCTCCAGGTATTTGAAAAGAATTGAAGACTTCCATCAATGTAATTTCCTAGTTTAATCAGTCATAATATCAGATATTAATGATTTCCATAGAGAAATGGACGGGGGTTCACTGCCCACGCATTTCAACATAATGGCCTTCCTTGCTAACATTATCGGCAAGATTTTTAATCATTGACAGTATTTTGAGGATTTCTGGAGACAGAAATATGTGGTACCTTCAAATAACTTTCTCATTTCATTCATGATAGTGAATGAAGTAGTAGTAGTGTCCCTCTCTGGACTTTTGCTGACATCATGGTGCCTTTGCAAAACTGATTGATGACATTTATGCAAGTTACTGGAGTGTTACTGAACTTCTACTCAGAGTTATTGTGTGTTCCTTTTGTGTCTGGGCCTCCGCGTGTTTGAGCAGAATGTGACGGGATACCACGCTGCTATCGATGGCGCGGTTGATAAGCTGAAGGAGAAGACGGAGCGCCTCTCTCTGGCTGACAGAGATCTGGTCCAAATGGCTGACGAGCACGCTGAGATGATGGAGAAGCAGGCCAACAAGCTGGAGGAGTAAGAAATCCATTTGGGATTTTAAAAAAACACGAATCTCAATATAGATTTAGCTTTGAGGAAAATGTGTTTTTGTTTTACTGTAGGTATCCAGGACAATGAGTGCCACTTTGTTTCAAAATGATTTTCTTGACCAGGGAAATCTTGTGATCTTACAAGCAGTTTCAAGTGTTTTAACCTGGGTTGTTAACCTGTCTTCATCAGGGATTTGAAAGAGAGCGATGCCAATGGTTTTGTCCAGAGAGCCATCAGTGCCGCCAACGTCTACAACAACATTGTGAAATACGTGGATGATGCCAACATCACCTCCATCACCACCTTTAACTTATCTCAAAGAGCAGAGGATGTATGTAATATCTACAATATTATTTTTACGTAATTCCGTTTCTGTCGGCCAGCTAGGTCCCTTATATCTGTCTTACCTCTGTCTTTTAGGCTGTTGCTGGGATCAACAAACAGCTCGGACACCTGGTGACACAGAGTGACAACGTTTTCAAGGAGTCTGTTTCGTTACATTCGGAGCAAAATGGTACGGGCCATCAAAGAATCAGGCTGCTTACAGTTTCAAGAGCGTCTAGCAATTAATGCCTTTAACTTTCACAGAGGTGGAACATGGAGTGGCTGACAAGCTCAAATACATCGAGGAAACCCAAGAGACCATGCAGGAAAACACCAAAAAGCTTGAGCAATTAGTGCAGGACATCACCAAAATGAAAACGGGTGAGAACATATGCTGCCATTTTACATGAATAAAAGTCATTACTGTGTATGAGGTCCAGGGTTTCATCTAAATAGCTTTTACCATGGTTTAGAACTCCATCTCTAAGTGGACATGTCTCGCAGTCAAGTATTTATTATTATTATTATTTAAGATGTGTCTGCTCCTTTGGTTTAGCTTCTCATTTCCAAACTTTAGGACCAAAGTTTTGAAAGTTTAGGTCCTACACAGCTTTGTGTGGCAGTGAGAATTTAGGAGTTCAGTCCCTGTTCTCCGTCCCAATTCACCATCTCAATTTGTTACTCTGAATATTCTAAATGAGCTCTTTCCTTACCAAACTGAAACTGATTTACAGACAGAACTTCGCAGCGGGTGGACTTTACCTTGAACGTGGCTGAGGGGACTCTCAACCGCTCGGCAGAAGTCCTGCAGACCATCACTCCCATCAGCAGCAAGGTGGAGGAATGGGTCAAGAACATGAGGAACAACGAATACTCCACATCTGCGTACGAACAAGCCGTTGATTCTGCAGGTGAAGCAGGTATGAAGTTGCTTTCAACAGTCAACTGCACCCAGATGTATGTGAAATCCCAAATATCTACATCCATGGGTCTGATTTGGGGTATATTTATTCCCGAATGAGAATTTCAAATGTTCTTGTCAGCTACTTTGGTTTTTAGTTTTCAAACAGAATGTCTTCACCACATGCAACACCTCAGATTTGTAGATTTCTTTTTCTCTGATCTGTCTTCCAGTGGAAAACCTGAACGTGCTTGTCCCCGAGCTGTTGGACAAGCTGAAGGTGGTGGAGGACAACAAGCCGGTCAACAACGTGACCAGCAACATCATGAGGATCCGAGAGCTCATCGCTCAGGCCAGAAGCGTGGCCAAAAAAGTTAGTTTAACACTTTAATGAATGAATGTCTGTGCCTCCTTTGTCATAAGAGACAAGATCAGATTGTTTTTAAAAAGCCTTTAAAATGCCAGCTCATATTTTCAATGTTATCTCAAACACTAAAAAAAGAATCAGCAGCTGGAGTCTGTAAACTTTACTCGTTCTTTATGTTTATCTGAGTATTTAGCTTGATATAAACACAAAATATGTCCACATCTATGTGATTTGTGGTGGCACATTAGAACCAGGGTTCCCGGTTTGAATCCAGCCTGGGGGGGGGGTTCTTTCTGCTTGTACTCCCCTGTGTATGCACAAGTATATTTTTGGGTACTCTAGCTTCCTCCCACAGTCCAAAAATACGCACAGGCTTATAATAATAAACTCTGATGAGAGAGGATGTTTTCCACTACCTCACATCAAAGTTTTAATCTCAAATGGTTTCCATCTTGTGATTCATTCCACCAAGAGAGATCTTCTTCCTAAATTTTGTTTTCTGCATCAGATCCAAGTGTCCATGAAGTTCAACGGGCAGTCTTCGGTGGAGGTTCATCCCCACATGAACCTGGAAGAGCTGAAGACTGTTACGTCCATCAGCCTGTTCATGAGGGTGGACCCAGACAAGGACCCTATAGAGGACCGCTTCATCTTATACTTGGGAGACAGAAATGTGAGGAATTTCTTGCTTTGTCTTTCTGGGTCACCTGTCATAATCACAAAGATGCTAATGCAGATTTGCTCCATTGATCTGCTCCAGCCGAATGCTCTCCACGGGACTGGACACCACAACATATGTGTGGTTTCCATGGTAGACGGTCACAGGACCATTATGGGAGGCCTCTTTAGGTTTTTCCAGCTCAATAGTGCCTCTCCTTGGAGATTTCACTGTCAGTCCAAACATTCTGGTGCATTAACAGCCTGAGCTGTACTGGTCACCACATCAAGGAAGTCCACTGTGAAGCAAAAATGTGTTTCCTTCTTGGAATCTCATAAGGGAATTTTATTGGATTGAAAAAAAAACACTCCACAACTGCTTTGGTGTAAAGACTAATGCACAACTGTTCGTTTTCTGCCCTCAGGGTAAAAAAGATTACATGGGTTTAGCCATCAAGAATGACAACTTGGTCTTCGTGTACAACCTTGGAGGCGAAGATGTTGAAATCCCTCTGAGTTCAAAGCCTGTCAGCCAATGGCCTGCTGTCTTTAACTACATCAAAGTAGAGAGGTACAGTAAATCACTTCATATCACACACCTGACTAACACCAGTCGGGATAAGCGCGAATAAGCCAGCAGATTTTACAACTTTTTTCAAAATTTCTTTATTTCAAGGAAGATTGAGACATTTACTGATGTCTCCTCATCTGATACGTATTATTAACCTTAAAAACACCAGTAGGCCTACTCATGTTTGCCTACTTGTGAACAAAATAAACATTTGTATTGTTTTCTGCTGTGCATTTTGTTTAGGTACTAAAATTACATTAACAAGTTCTTTTACTTTTACAAATAACTGTAATTACATAGAACTCTGTTATCCTAAAATTGATTAAAAACATCCATGCTTTAATTGACATTAGGTTTATTTAAAACCACGCCATCAGGCAGTGTTTTCCGCTCTTTTATTTGCTAGACAGGACTTTATCCCAGTTCTGCAGAGTCTCCAGTAGCATGGCTTATAGCAGAAATTATTTCTTTATATAGAAGTAAAGACAAATCAGTGTATCTCATTATGTGAGCAACATCAGGACACTCACCCAATTAAACAAGGACTTAAGATATTTTGGCTGAATACAACTATTTTCTTTCAGACTGGGCAAACATGGAAAAGTCTTCCTGACCATCCCCAGCCAGACCTCCACTGATGAGCAAAAGTTCATCCAGAAGGGCAAAGCTCCAGGCACAGACTCCCTGTTTGACATCGACCCCAAAGATATAGTATTCTTTGTGGGCGGCGTCCCACCGGATGTCAGGGTAATGAATTTGAAAATGATAGAAAATGGATGGACGGGGGGAAAAAAGCATTCCTGTCATATTGTGTCATATTAACTGATGAGATTCTACTTATGGTTGTTTTTTTGTTTTTGTAACAAACTAGCTGCCACCTCCTCTGAGTCTGGCTCCGTTTGTGGGCTGTATCGAGCTGGCTTCACTCAACAACGACGTGATCAGTCTCTACAATTTCAAAGAGACCCACAAAATAGATATAGTCACATCGCCACCATGCTCCAGGTTGGTAATGTTGCCCTTTTTTAGGTCTTCAGGTAGACGAAAATCCTGAAAATAAGTAATCGCTCCTATCATTCTGTTGTCAGGTACAAGTTGGCCTTTTCTCAGAGTCGCATCACCAGCTACCTGTTTGATGGGACAGGCTACGCGCTCATCAATAACATTGAGAGGAGAGGGAAGTTTGGTGTGGTCATCAGATTTGACATTTCACTGCGAACTGTTGCAAATGATGGAGTCGTTTTTCTTATGGTTAATGGGGTAGGTAACTGCTGCCATCCAAATGACTAACTGCATTTAACCAACTCCCAAGGAGCTGTTTGATTCTGTTTCTGTCTGCCTTTTACTGTAGAATGACTTCTCTAGAACTGTGTTCATTTGAATGTAGCTTAAGATGGACAGTTGAAGCCAGTTTTGATGGGTTTTTTTGCTTTTATTCCAGGATAAATTCTTCCTTTTGGACATAAAAAATGGCTTCCTCCGTCTAATGTATGACTTTGGCTTCAGCAACGGACCAAACGTTTTTGAAAGTAACCTTGCAAAGCTTAAAATAAATGACGCACGATACCACGAGGTAAATGTCTTTCTATTTCTTTACTTTTCTTCATTATGCAAAAAATGTTCATGCGTTGCCATAACGCTGGGGATTCTTCTCCACTCTCTTAGGTGTCGCTAATATACCATCAGTCAAAGAAGGTTATCCTGCTGGTGGACAAGAGCCATGTAAAGTCTATGGAAAACCCTAAAGCCACATTGCCCTTCTCAGATATCTATATAGGTGGGGCTCCATCAGGTGTCCTCAAATCCAGGTAGGTATACACGACTTCATAATAAATATCAGGTGAAACAATGCAATCTCTTCAAGGTTGTGTTTCCAAAAACTGACTTGAAGTAACTTACTTGAAACGTATGATTTTTGGCTCCTTCTGCAGTTGATCTACATAAACCTGATGTCAAGATTTGTTTTACAATATTTCAATTAGTGTGTCTTTTCACCTTGTAAGTTACAGGAAGTGTTATAATACATGTAAAGATTCGGGCCAGTGTGAATATGCATTTATTACAACCAGAGACATCTGTTTATTGTCTCTGGCTAAATTGAGATGTTTACTTTCCTATGACCCTGAAGCCTGAAATTGTGGAAAACTGCTATCCAACATAGGTAGTCTGGATAATGCATCAGCGTTTTTATGCTTCTCTGAAGGTTCGAGCTTGATTCCAGAAGTGTAGCGTAAATCAGGGACTATCTCTGCAGCCCTACAGGGTGCTACACCTGTTTTAAGACCGGGGAATATAAATATATGGCCAAAAATCTTTCTCATCTCAAGACCAAACAAATGCTAATTCTTCAAATACCTAAACTAGTCCCAATACTTCTTTCTCAGTATGTGAGTCCCATGAGGAACCTGTTTTGAAATGACTGCACCAACTTCCACTAAACCAAGGAGTCAGTCTGGATTGTAATGCACCAGAACTTTGATTGAAATCAGTTGTTACTTAGCATCATCAAACTCCTTTTGATAAGATGACCTGTTCAGAACTGCTATCACTGCACACAGGTTAGGAATGAACTTTTCATAGTAGCTCAACAGTGAGAGAAATCATTTAGATTCTGTTATAGTTGTAGAATTCACATTTTTCTTGTTTTACCCTTAGGTTGTGCCTCTGTAAACCCTTAAATGCCTCTTCCGTGTTTCCCATGTGTTCTTTGATGTCATGTCCTGTGATTAGTATCATCTAAATCACAGATAACACCATCTAAACCCCGAAGAACTTGATCCATCGACTTCTGAAATATGGCAGTTGCACTTGTAACTCCACAGGGGAGTCATTTTACTCAAAACAAACCCTTGTATGTAGAAAGCCAGGTACTGTTTGGCACTGCCATCTAGCTCCACTTGCTGATATTCCCTTGATAGATACAACTTTGCCAATTTCAACCCTCCAGCTAGTTTTGTGAACAGATCCTGCAGTTTCTAAACAGGATACGGCTCTACGTCTAGCCAAGGGTTTATTGACAATGGGTAATCTCCACAAATCCTGGCTGTCACATCCATTTTATTTTCACTGTGGGTCCCGCCCATTCACTGAGATCAGCCAGAGTTTTAACCCCATCTGCTTCTATCTGACCTAACTGAGCGTCAACAGGTACTGGGCATAAAGAACAGAACATGGTTTGCAATATTTAGATATTACCCCTAGTATGATCTTCAGTTTAGCTCTACCAACCAGTGACATTTCCAGGATTATACTCAGACACCTCTGGTTATCGGTCACATAACTCATCTGGACTTTAAATACTCACTCTGTCCACTAAGAATCAATCAAGTTTAAGCTGTTTTATCCAGTCTCTTACCATTAAGGTGGGACCATTACCTACTACCAGCCGGTTAAGTTTGCAGTTGACTTCTTTGCACCTCATAATCACACAAGGTTTTTCATGTTCTATCCAAATTTTTGGAATCGATGTTGCACTTTTCTGTGAGGTCACTCCTGATAGATATAGTTGGCTCATCAGGGTCTTTCAGAAGATGGATAAAAGTGTGCGTGTCTTCTCGCAGACCGGAGCTGTCCACCGTTATCGGTTTGAAAGGCTGCTTGAAAGGATTCCAGTTCCAGAAAAAAGACTTCAACCTACTAGAGGAGCCTGGCACCATCGGCATCAGCAGTGGCTGCCCCGAGGAGTTCTTTGTAAATGCCTTTCCTACCTATTCACACGCTCAGTTTTTCTGTCTCGGTCGAATACACACCTGTAAACACACACATTCGCTTTAACACTTTAACTTTACTGGAGAGCTAAGAGGCCCCTGAATTTAACGTGTGCTTTAACTGTGCCAGATGTCCCGTAAAGCCTATTTCGCTGGAGAGAGTTACCTGGGATCCACAGCAAAGATTTCACCGTTTGACAACTTTGAAGGAGGTCTGAACTTCAGAACATTGCAGCCCACTGGACTCCTTTTCTACCACAGCGAAGGGGTAAACAAATCCACTTCTTCATCAACAGAGATTGAGAAAAATGCTTTTTAAGCAATATGCTGCATTTCAAAATGTAAAGTAAATGTTACTGGAACGATTCTTTTCATGACACTCTACAGTCCGAAGAGTTCAGCATATCCCTGGACAACGGAGCCGTGGTGTTGAACAGCAGAGGCACGAAGATCAAGTCAAACAAGAAGCAGTACAATGATGGAAGGAATCACTTCTTAGTTGCTTCGGTAAATAAACAGAAGTGAGTATTCAACTTATGAACGGTCCTTAGCTCATATTTTTGCTATGTGTTAGTCATACTTGATGAAATGCATTTGGTCTAGCCACCTCCTTGTCCTCTTTTCTGTCCATTGTGTATGTGAGGACTTGGACTTTTTGACCAAAGGCCATTAAGTTAGAAGGTCAGCCTTCTTTTGAGCTAACATCTGAAGTTACATGTAGGTCATAAAATGGGAGTATGCCTTTCACTGACGTAAATAGCTCATCTCACGCCATTTTTTCAACCGCAGGTATTCGCTGCTGGTGGATGACAGAGATAAGCAGGAAAAGAAGCGTCCACAGTCCAGTTCCTCATCAGTTGCCGGCGTGAAGACCTTCTACTACGGGGGGTCCCCCAGCGGCAGCTTTAGGAACTTCACGGGCTGCATCAGCTATGCCTACATCATCAGGTAACCCACCGGCCTGTTAGCACTCCTCTGCTATCTCTACAAGGAAACTGTCAACAGTCTGTCTTCCCCCTTATCTGTAGACAAGACCGGGACATTGAGGCCGAGGACTTTCAGAAATACACAGAGAGGGTCAACACTTCTCTGCAGGACTGTCCCATACAGATACCCCCCGCAGCACTTCAGTCTAGGCACCGGGACAGGACTTCCCGAGCCAAACCCATTGATTCCCAGAAGGTAAAGAACAGAGCCTGCAGCTAGTCTTCAGAAATCCCGACTTCTGTCCACACCGACTGCGTCTTTTTCATTAGACTGCAGTCAGTGTGGACAATAATGGTGTGCAAATGACCTCGCAGGGCACCGGGGAAGGGTCCAGCCTCCTCCCAGACCGGACAGAAGCGGACGATGATGGTCACCAACCAGCAGAGTCAAACACACAGTCCTGCTACCTCTCGTCAAGTCCAAGAGCAGCACACCAGGCCTTCCACTACAGCGGCGTTGTGAACAGCAGGCAACACTACACACAAGTCCCCAACTCTCTTTCTGAGAGGTAGGTCAGACTCAGAAGTTGTACAAACCATTGTAATTGTGTCCTTCACGAGTGTCTTTGTTTCTGAATGTGCGACCAAATGCTTCCTTCTCCCTCCCAGGCACCACTTCTCCTTGTCCCTGAAAACCCTATCACCCTTTGGCCTCATATTCTATGCATCCGATGCCCAAGACGACAACTTTATCGCTCTCTTCCTGGCCCACGGAAAACTTGTGTATTCTTTTAACGTGGCGGGCCAAAAAGTTAAAATCAAGAGCGAGGACAGATACAATGATGGTGCATGGCACAATGTAAGTTAGAAAAATTGTTCCACCGGTCGGAATTTGACTGTGGGAGTGTTGTGGATGTTTCAAAGAGCCGACCCCTTCTCTTTGCATCTGCTGCAGATTATTATTACACGTGATGGAAGCATGGGAAAGATGATCATCGATGGGCTCAAAGTGCTGGAGGACAGAGCTGAGGAAGACAGCTTCTCCTGGCACACCAGCACACCCATCTTCATCGGAGGAGTTCCTCCAGGGAGAGGCCAAAAGAACATTCAGGTACCAGTCCAAATATGGCAAAGGGCAAAAAGTATAGTGCAGGCAGCTAAATTAAAAAAACTCAATATTCTTTCTGGGATTTTCCATTGTAGCCATGGATGAAACCCAGAGCTAAAATGTATCTGATAGATAGATAGATAGATAGATAGATAGATAGATAGATAGATAGAT